CTGACGACCCGGTGAGTAGCATATTTTAAAAAAAGAACGTTTAAGGTTGTTTTAAGGACATTATCGGACATGCACTATGGAAGCCATTCTGAATCAGCCAGGGGTAGACCTTCTGGACAGCACTAAGATTGGTGTCATTTACAAAAAAAACCCGAAAAATACCCAATACCAGATTCTGGAAAACTCCCTTATGGCCAGTGTTAAGTGTGGTGGTGTATTTTTCATGATTTATGTATTTATCACAAATTAACAGGAATGAGCATGGCAAAATTCAGCTAAACTATCTGGAAATTTTATAAACACTCTAAATAAAAATGTGATGTCCAGCTCTAATGCCAGATATCTGAAAGTCATTATGGAATATCGTAGAAGAAAGATGATCCAAGAGCTTGATCAAAAATCAACACATACATGAAACAATATCTACCATGGTTCATCTTGGAAATTAGTCTTACATTTTATACAACATTCGGGAGATTAGCTGATGAAAACAGAGAAGAAGATAAGAACCAAGGCTCCAGATCATGCACAGTGGTGCTCAGGAAAATTAATAATGCAGGGAGCTAACCTTGTCTTACCAACTGTTAATTCAAGTTCGTTGAAAGCTAAAACCATTATATTGACGATCAAAAAAGATCATTTTTATAGAAAAAGTCTTTCCCAGTTGATAATATTATGAATTCTATATTGTTTTTCAATCACTCTATTCATGCATGTGCTTGTTCCATCCTAATGTTACCTTCTTGTTAAGTGTTAATTCTAATGTTTTTCCCATGTAATTTATTTAGTCAAAACAGACATAGATGATATTTCTTAACAGAGAAGACTTTAGTAGTGTGCATTTGATTGTCCTTGATCTGGAAGACTTTGTATTATCTCGATTAGGCTGCAGCCAGTGATGTTGCCCCATTTAGAAAAAAACATCTATATGATGCAGTGATGAGTGATGCGATGACGTGGCAAAGTTTGATCCTGTAGATCTTTAACCCCGTCAGGCCTGCCATATGAAACTAAGTTCTGTTAAACCTGCTGTCATGTTTTGGTGCTCATTATATATATGTACATTGAAACATTTCAGTGTTTTTTTAAGTGCTTGTTTGCAGTGATCTCTGCTCAGGAAAAGAATCAGGGAGACAAAGCCTGAAGGTGTGAACAGAATAGCTCTATTACCTTTTTACATGAAGCAGTTAAAGATCCAGGAGAAAGTGTGAGAGTTTATTTTGCAGAAAGTGAAACATCATTAACTAGATTTTACTATTGTTAGGTCTTAAACCCTCCTATTGCCTCTGGGTCATAATGACCTGAAAACAAGTTTTTTATTTATTTATGAATTTTAAGACTTTTCCTAAATTGACCCCCAAAGTATTTGATGCCTTCAATCCTCTTTCCATCTAAACTGTAACATAAAAGTTACAGATGTCATTTTGACCAGATAGTAATAATAGATAGAGCAATCATGGAACCAAAGTGTGTGAAAATTTGTGATTTTCTCCAGCAGAAGCCACTGCCTGTATAAAGGCTGGATTTTTCAGCCAAGGAGGGTGGCACTAGAGATGAGGATGTCTGGGATTGTGGGAAAATATCAAATCTCATGATCGAAAAGTAACAAAAATACCATCTGGTCACTTTATTAGCAGTTTCCCGTATTAAACAGGGCATGATGAGCAAGAAAGTATTAAGGAAAAGGCTCTTATGATCAAAATGTAATGCTATGGTAAAAAGCAGGGATTCTAACCAGCAAACCTCCAGTTGCAGGACAAACTTCTGTACCCTGCACGATTGACATATTGCTAGTATTTTGGACTGCTAAGAGCCTATAAAGTGACTGCAGGTGACAGTGGAAACAATCATTCTTCTGCATTCAGAAATGTTTCATTGCTGAACTGTTCTAAAACATTTTATTGTTTTTAATAAATTGCAAAAAAACAACAACTCTGGTTTAAAAGAGGAGGCGGTCTCGGAAGAAGAAGATGGGGAGAAATACAACCCAGACTAGGATGCCGATTTATCCACAGAAGTAGAAAATTAAATGCCTCAAGCTGTGATGCAAGTTGTCAAGTGGAAAGGCAAGTGGTAATTCTTGAATTGTTGCAGTTTTCTGCCGGGTTAACTGGTATTCACTCAGTTTGTTTTAAATGGCAACTAGATTTAGTGTATAAAATTCAATTACAGTGCATATAGAGGGTTTAGTCAAACCTGTTGTGGAACTATATACTGTACATGTGCCGCATAAAAACTTTTAATTAATATTTGATTCATATAAGAAAACAAATCTTGTTTATTTTCTAAACCAAAGTGGTATAGAGCTGTTGGAAGGTCTAAAAAGCATCAGTAGCCAATAGTATAATTGTATGCTTCAACCCTACATGGTACTTTCCTTCATTTGCTGGTGCTCTGCTATGGCAAATGACACTGTAAACAATCCTGGCAAAATCAAGCATAAAGTGAGAGTGTTATTTTATTTATTTTACCGAGGTAGTCATCAAAGGAGAACTTGTCATTGTCCCAGATCTGGATGGTAATTTTAGGCGCCACTTTGGTTTCAGCTTTATCAATGCTCCAGAAGTGTTCCTGCACAGAAATAAAGAAAACCACAATGAGAAAACTTTACATCTTAAAGGTAACGAGGAAGTTCTTTCATTTCCGGGTGGAGCATCTCAATAAGTGAACCTCCAAACTGTCTGCTCATATGTTTACATAAGGCCATCCTACACGCTCATCCCGTTAGCTATCTTTTTCTCCGCATGCGCACTTTCAGGCATATATGTGTGGTGAGCTATAGTTTCAGACAGTAATTGAAGCTCATCTTTGTCACTGAGGATCTTTGAGAATGGCCGAGGGTCGTAAGAGAAAAGGTGTCTACGAGGTGTATGAGAATTAACGAAAGAAGTCAGAAGAGGCAGATGTATCCCCAAATGTTTTGCACTGAGAGCTCTCCTCGCAAAACATAATGGTTTTTGATGTCACAGCAGGACACTGTCGCTACCCGACAGCAGCAACTAATGACAAAGATGGGGCAGGCACCGCACAGTGGAGGAGGATGATCATTTGTCCAAATGGTAATTTAACTGAGTTAGCTATAAAATCCACTATATAGTCCCCGCTCTATATAGTGATGGAGGGATTTAGGGGCTATCACGGATGTTCAGGGACAGTAAACTTGTATGAGCTATGAGAACAGCAACTTTTAAATGGAGAGTGCACAAAGAAAGATGAGCTCCTGCATGCTCTTGCACGCGGTTATTAGGCGTTCCCTCTCGATAGGGAGTACAGGGTTATGCATGTGCATTTTTATTTTGAAGTGGAGAAATTTTCCAAAATCCTCTACAATACCTTTAACTGTACAAATATCTTTCTAACATTCAGATAAACACTTGATTTTAATGTCTTCTTTGCCACAGTATTCTAAGTGGGTTAGTGATGCATCTCACTAGGTTAAATTACACAGTTTCTTTAAAACAGTTAATATAATAGCCCTGATGACTTACGTAAAAGAAATTGAGACTGTTAAGGAAATCAATGCACCCCCTTCTCATCGAAAAGGTATTCTGAGAAAAACAGATCTACATTTTTTTGATTCGGTGTAATGTTTGTCCGGTTGGTGCAGCCATGGCGTCTCACTTGCTCTGTTGTTGAAAAATTGTAAATATCTCATGCGCATCAGGGTGATATTGACACATTAGTTTATTTCTGCCTCTAAGTGCATTAGCACTACTAATATCATAACACCAACATGCCAGACAGATATCTGATCCCGTCTCATCTTCATGCTAATCTGCTTCACCCTGTTGCAAGGTTCCTCCCTTTTTCTTTCCACTCGCTTCCTTCTTTTGTATCCGTCTGTGACACTGTGCCGACTGTCATGTAGATAAAAAATATGTTTTTCACATATGAATTTAAATGGATCGAATGTGATTTGTAGTGAATGTCACACCAAATTTAAGTTCAGGTCTTGTACAAAGCATAGGGCAGCACATGGCAACGCCCTAATGTGTGACATTACAATTAATATTAGAGTTGACTTGTTCAACCTTGACAACTTTGCATTATTCTCTTTACCATTTAGAGTTTCACAGTTTGCAACACGTGCAGTTCAGACATTGTAACAAGTGTTTTGAACACATATTTGCATCATATCAGAGCACAGGTATTCAGGGCAACATTGATGCTTTATTGGTCCGGTTTGGATGGAGGATAGGGGACTTAAGAAATACAGAAATGTGGTTCTATTTAAACAAAGGCTTGTCCTAAAAACAGTAGAACAAACCTACTTTTAATTTTTTGTTTTTTGACATAACAGCAGCTTAAATATATCCAGACACATGAGGTTTCAATGTTTTTTTATGGTCATGTAGCATGTCATAAAAAAATAAAACATATTTAGTCATCTTTAAATGAAACAATATAAAGCAAACATTCATGCTGATGGTGTTTATTTTGTCTTTCCTCAGCCTGAAATGGAAGTTTTGCACCATTATCAGTAGATAAAAAGATGTCTCAACTCTATCTAAGGCAAATTTCATGACTGGATTTATTGCATTGCTGTCATAATATCACAGCTCCACTCTGGAATTCACTAAACTACCAAAAGAGACCCAATGTTTCAAAGGGTTTTAACAACAGTCTGCATGCCAAGGTGCTTGTTTTTGTACACCTGTGGCCATGGAGGTGATTGGAAGTGATTGCGACACCTGGTTTCAATCATTTGGATGAGTAAGAAAATACTTTTGGGAATCAGTGTTGTTTTTGACAGCCATCTTAGATTTAGTCTTAGTTTTTTCATCTTCAGGATCAAACCATTATTAGTTTTAGTCACATTTTAGTCATTACTATATGAGACAGTTTTAATCAGTTTTAGTCGACTAAAACTCAAAAAGGTTTTAGTCTAGTTTTAGTCAGTTTTATGTCACACCTCACAAACATCTCACTACAGTGTGGCTCACAAACTGATTTTTAGAATTAAAATAAACTTTTTTATGAATTAATTACCTACTTTATAAAAAAGTGTCTCACAAAAGGTGTGAAAATATCAGATCTAGTTCATCACATCATATTGGTTAAAATAGCAGACAGACAAGCTAACAAAACATACAATAAAGGAATGGTGTTAGACATACATGTTGCCATCCCAAAAGCATAGACTTCCTGAACTATCATGAATTATGCATTACACATGAAATAAGCTTTTCATCTGGGTCTTTACCCAAAAATAAACTGTATGCAATTATATATTTACTTTGAATAGAATTTCAAAGCGTTTGCATAACTTCTTGTGAACTAGAAGACATAAAAATTTGATTGTTAGACAAAAGGATTTTTTACGCCTGGCAGAGGATGATCAGCTACATATCTTTTATGACTTATCTTTCTGAAAAAAAGGAGCATTAACAAATTTATTTCTTTATCGTAATTGTTGACGAAAACGAAACTGTTGGGAATGTAGTGTACCAAATTGGAAACTTGAAATGTTATGCATTTACATACTATTTAAACATGTTCTAATACTACTGCTAAGAACCTTAATAATAGTATAGCTCTTATAGCTGGTTTAAATCTTATTTATCTGACAGGTTTCAGTTTGATCACATTAATAATAAATCTTCCTCATGCTCAAAGGTTACCTATGGAGTACCACAGGGATCAGTGCTAGGGCCAATTCTCTTTACTATATATATACTGTCAATTGGTAAATTTATAAAACAGCATGGGATTGATTTGCACTGTCTATCTGTCTATATATCTGTATGAAGCTAAACCATTACATAGACTAAAGGCATGTAATGAAGACATAAAAACCTGAATGACTCTTAACATTCTGCTCCTGAATGCAGACAAAATAGACGTTATAGTCTTTGGACCAGAGTCTTTAAAAAGAAGCTTGAAAAGAACCTGGTTAGTCAGTCACTTCATTTGGATGGGATTAAATTGATCTCAGATAATAAAGTAAAAAATCTTGGTGTTAGTTTTGATCAGGACCTGTCATCTAAATCCCATATCAAAAAGGTTTCAAGAATGTCCTTATTTCATCCAGGGAATATTACAAAAAAGTAAAAAAACGTCCTGTCCAGGGTTGATGGTGAGAAACTTGTCCATGCATTTGTTACATCAAGGCTGGACTATTGTAATTCTTTACTATTAGGAAGTCCATAAACTGTAATTAAAAGCCTTCAGCTGATCCAGAGTTCTGATGAAAATTAAAAGAGATGTCTCCTATCCTGGCCTCTCTTCATTGGCTTCCTATTAGAGGCAGAATAGAATTTAAAATCCTCCTTCTCACGTATAAAGCCTTAAACCGGGCATACACTGTGTGCTTTTTTTCAATCGGTGCACGCAGCTACATCTCACCACAGTGTGAGTTCACAGCTCACAATGTATGTGGAGCACGACACTCTGATGCAATCTACTGTACCTGTTCATACTGTACGTCTAAAAACCACGTGGGACTCTGCTCCGCAGTGAGATCGAGCTACTCGGACTTCTCTATCCGGAAGCTCGTTAGAATGAAATGCTCTGCCTTGACAATTTGTGCTATTTTGTGCTGAAATCCCTAAAATGAAAAGCGACAATGTATTTGGACAAAGACATGGCTGAGCAAACGTGGCTGTCAATTTTACAGACAGCACTCCACCCACACCCCCGCCATGCTTTTGTGTTTTCATCTGAGGGGAAGAAAAAGAATTGAAGAAGAAGAGTCCTTGTTTGTGCATGCCCACTTAGCAATTTGCCCATTACGGTCGGGAGAAAATCAACATGTTTGATTTTCTCCCGACCTCGCGATTCCTGATCAGGAGGTGGTCGTGAGAGGCCCCTCGCCCAGACCTTTTAGTTATCAGGCTCCTCTTCTTTGGAAACTACTAGTTTTAGTTTGTGAGGCAGGCACCCTGTGTACTAGGCTAGGATTAAAACTTTCCTATTTGATAAAGCTGGAGTTAGAGCTCAAGTTTTTCTGTCTATCTCTATAGTTATGCCGCTATAGTCTTAGACTGCTGGAGGACATAGAGACAAATTTTTCATTATTGTGCTGCATTATCTATTCTCCCATTCTGCAGAATTTGTTAGTTCAACTTCTAACGCTATCTTCTCTCTGATTTTTCTCATATTAGCTTCATCCTGTCTGTTCCTGTTTGGCTCCTACACCACCCAGTAGAGAAATATCAGCTGTGCTGCTGCCATTAACACCGTTTCATATATATGTTGGAGTTCGGTTGAGCATACCATGCCTTTAATGGTGTGCTCGACATCTTGCTCAGTTTAAAAACAAACTTTTTCAAATTAAGTTATTACTTTACCAATGCCATGAACAGAAGCAATGGCAAATGGGAGTAATTGTTTTCTATAACACTAAAGTGCATAAATCATGTCCTTGGTGCTGGTCCTAAACACAGGAATTTTTCTTCAGCATTTCCTTAATCCATCTTCTTCTATGAAATCCCATCGATTGCTGGGGAAGATTTGTCAACTTACAATAGTTCGAGAAAAATATTCCTGTGAAACTATAAACTGCTGTCAAATATTCACAATCATCCAGTAGACAACATCCAACAAATCAAAAAAATTAGGAGATGTTTAAGAGAACTGACAGATTCAAGAAGTTAAAAAGCCTTTGAAGGAGGATGAAGGGTAAGTTAGTAACTTTAAAGTAAATGGTCTTTGTCAAAGATAATAAAAAAGTTACTTAATTTATTTTAAATACTGCATATTTTGCAAAAGTGTCTAAAGCCACCGAGGAGGGAATTGATAGGAACCATTGATCAGTCATTCTGACTCTGCGGCTGAGGTTTTTGGCTTCATAAACCCTATTTTTGGCTCCTTCTCTCCACCCAGCAGAGTTTTTCATTTAAAACTCCCCGTTGTCTTTTCAGCTGCTCACTGATTGAAGATGCTGGAGAGAGAGGGCGAGTGCTGTCATAAAACACGTCGGCAGAGAGTGGCTAAAGAGGCCCGGCCACGGGCCAAGAGAAGCAAATGACAGCCTGGTTGTTATTTCAGTTTTTGGAGTGCTGTTATTTCAGCTCCTGGCTGCATGTTTTTGTTGAGTCTCTGAGTTTCAGCAGCATCCACTCCTTCTTGTACAAATGTCACATCATGATTTTTGTTAATTGCAGGCCACCGCGGATTAGTTAGGGAGGGCGGACATCGCCTCAGAAATTTCTAGCAGCCTGACTCAGCTGTCTGATCTATAACTGCTGATATTATAAATATTTTACCTTTAAATTTAAATCCCTCGCTGTCATACTATAACAATTGCAGACGCACTCATTGGATGTTCAAGAAGACTTTTTGGTCTAGTTGTCAAGGGGAGTTACAAGCAATTATTTGAGTAAAGAAGATTTTTGTTTCCAGTAGCTTGACGTAGCATGGCACAAAAAGAATAATAACCCATAAAGAGTGAATGAAACTCAATAAATAGCACATGGAGGAAATTCATGACACACTTCACTCCACGTCAGCAGTTTACAGAGTTCAGACATGAAAATGGAATAACATGAAGAGATTACAAGGTCAGCAACATCCCAGTCAAGCTCCAGTATCCATATTTTAAGACATGTATTCAAGAAATCTAAAGTAAGCACTTTCAACCATTTGCAAACTACAATAACGTGATGAGATGTTTTTCTTTTGTTGGTTTTTATCGCCTCTAAGTTATATTGTAAAACATTAATTATTTAATAGGTTTGAATTAATTACACATGTTGCCTATCTTTATCTCTCTTCTTCCCTTTTTTTTTTATCTACGTCCTCACACCTGAACTTTGTTAAATACAGCAGTATTAATACATTTCCATCAGAATCAGAATCATGACCTAAAGCAGCTGTAGAACACTTAAGCATACTTTATGAAATATAGTATGGTCCCACATGGAAATAATTGATCCATTCTAGACACATTTTATGCTTACATTTTTTAAGTTACATATATCACACCTATATGTTCTCTCTCTACAGAGGTTCCTGCCTTAGATTAGATTAGATTCAACTTTATTGTCATTACACAGGTACAGGTACAAGGCAAAGAAATGCAGTTTAGGTCTAACCAGAAGTGCAATAGCAGCAAGTGCAGGATAAATAATGGTTCCATAAATACCGGACATGGGTTTTTTACTGAATAAGTATAGAGATGAATACCGTTCTCTCCCTACAGAGGTTCCTTCCTTAGATGCCGACGCTTAGAGTCCTGCAACGGGGCGGGTCCCCGACGGGTCACCCGCTAAAATGCTCTTTTGCGGGTGAAAAATACATAAATAAAAATAAACGGGTCGGGCGGATATTTTTTTAGTGCGGGCGGGTAGTTGGTGATATTTTTTTTTATGCGTGTGTGTTGTTATGGACATCAGAAATGTTATATTAATCAGGCACTGGGGTCACCCTTGTTGTAGCTTAGAGCCCTGCCGGCAGTGTGGGCTTCCCTCCAAAAAGGCCACAGTCAGTGCATACACGTCTGCTGCAGCGTTAATGGCGCTGTTCTACAACGCAGCGTACTATAGCCTATTACTTGATGTGTTAACGGGTCGGGTTGCGGGTTAAATATCAATGGGTCGGGTTCGGATTTGAATTGAAGATATCCGCGGGTGACGGGTCGGGTTCGGTAGTCATCCTAACGGGTTCGGGTTGGTAAAACTCGACCTGTGCAGGACTCTACTGACGCTGCGCTCTGCAGTTCCGTTTCAAATAAATGTGTTGAGAAATCTGTTTGTCCACCTCAAATACTCGGTCTTATTGTTTTGAGCCTGACAGAGGCAGTGCATGCTGAAGCACCTGGAGAGAGGCGTGTGGTGTATATGTGTGTGTGTTTGGGGTGGGGAAGTCTGTTATATCTGTAATTTACATGAACAAAACTTTATACACCAGAAAAGAAAAAACTTTTTTTGTTTTTTTTGCTCATCACTTTGGTGCCCCCGTTAGCAGCCCTCTACACACTGCATAGACTCCATATCCCCTTTTTATTTCACAGAATTTTATAACAATAAGGGAAATTTTGAGTAAACTGCTAACACAGTAGGAGGGTGGGGAAGAGGGGTAAAATACGGTAGATTCCCCCCCAAAACAGGAGATTTGGCAGGTATGCAACTGTTGATGGCTGCATCAATTCAACTCTATTCAGTTTATTTATATAGCGCCAATTCACAACACATGTCATCTCGAGGCAATTTACAATTCAACCAGATCATACAGTAGAATTGAGTCAAAGTTTTCTATCTAAGGAAAACCAGTTGATTGCATTAATTCATTGATCCAAGGGCAATCCTCCACACTAAGCATGCTTGTAGCGACAGTGGAAAGGAAGAACTGCCTTTTAACAGGAAGAAACCCCCAGCAGAACCAGAACCAGCATCAGTAATGGCCAGCCTCAGTATACAGGCTCCTTGCCCTACCAACAAGTCATTCTGTGGTGACCAGTGGGCTTTTATGACACAATATCTCATTAAGATTACCTTCCTGTCCACAACGCATAGCTGCTCTGCTGGCAAGTAGTGGAAGGGAAACAGGAATCTGTAGTTAAAGTTGCCCTCGCCTCCTAGAGAGCGGTAGTGGACGTCTGTCTTCTGCTTGTTGTGTTCATGTCCATCAAGCCAGCTGAGAAAAGCATCAACAGATTAGCTCGTTAAACCTTCAAACAGATTAGAGAAAAAAGGCAGAACTAAATAGCCTTACCCTTTGACATAGATGTCACTCATCTTTTCTCCGGTGACACTGATATCATCCAGGAGGACATCACTGGTGTTCCAGATGATGCAGCGCAGGAAGAACCTGTTGAAGAAAACCTAATTATCACAGGGATCAAATTGACTCTAAGATGACTAAAAAAATGGCAATATGTGCATTGTCTATTTGAACTTCACATCACAAAAGACATTCTAAACACAGATTTCAGTATTATCAAACACTGTTGCCCTATTGTTAAAGTGGAACATCTATAATTGTAATTAGAACACTATATTTTTTGCACAGTAAAAGATGAGCAAAAAAGTATCACTTTTAAAATCTTAAGTAAGAAGACGACATATGATTTTGCAAACAAGTAAACCTGTTTTAAATTCTGGAGGTAGCACACACATATCATGAATGCCTTTGACAGAATTCAAATGAGAGATTTTATCTAGATTAATTCCAAGATCTTAGTAAGATTAATCTAGAAAAAAATACATTTACATTAATAATCTTCTTACTTCTTGGCCTTGCGAGGCGTGACATTGAATGGGGGTCCAGGCGGTCCCAAAGACTTAGGAAAGAGGTCCACCCACATCAACAGTCGGCCCTGATACAACAACCAGAAGTTAGTCAGAAATCAGAAATCTGTGGAGAAGATGTTAAGGACAGTAGAGGGTGGGTATGCTGTACCTGCTCTATGTCAGGCTGTAGAGGACTGTAAAGTGGTCTGGTTTCCACATGTTCAGGTACCAGCCCCATTTTCCTCAATATATGAAGGGACAATCGCTCCTTAAGTGGACCGAGGCATTGTTTGGATATTTCTTTGTCATCTAAAACATGCAGATTTTAGAGTTTTAACAAAGGATATGGCACAATGTAAAGAACTGGAGAAGAAGGATACCCATAATGCTGACAGAACTGGGAGGTCAGAAATTCACCTAACAGTAATTCATTATTCACTTTTGCTGGTCTCTGTATCACAAGCAAATGAGGAAAATCTGTGACAAAAATGAATGACATAACTGAATCATTAGTGAGAGGAGAGCGGGAAAAGATTGAGGAGGAAAAAAAGGGCAAATAAAAAGGTAAGCTTGAGAGAGGGTAAAGTACAGTGGCCGGGAGGTGCAAACCAACATTACAAAATCTAAAACTAATCCTGAAATGATCATTTGTTTTGGAACTTGTAAAAGTTTTTTTTAAATGTAACTTTTTCTTTCTGAAATGATAATTTGTTTTGAAATTTGTAAAAGTGTTTTTTAAAATGTAAATTTGTTTCTGAAATGATCATTTGTTGTGGAACTTTTTTAGAAAGTTTTTTAGATTTTGTGATGTTGGTTTGCACCTCCCGGCCACCGTAGTAAAGAGATATAAGTAGAAAGGAAAAAAGAAAACATTCAAAATGGCAGAGGCATAAAGTCTGGGGTTATAAGGATTTAGTTCAAAGTACAAAATATTTAAAATATTATGAAATGAAAATAAATAGATAAGGAAAAATAAGAGTTAATTTATTAAAGACGCAAGGGAGAGAACTTTACATTTAAGTCTGTAAAGTTCGCAGAAACCATTTATAGATAACTACAGTAGACCTGTTTCTCTTCAAACAGCTGTGTGTAACTACAGCTTATCCCTACTGTATGTGACATCATGTTTGTCCAGTTCTGACAGGAAACTACATTTATTACCTTCAATTAAAAGACAATAAACCAAATGTCTGGGGAGATCCACAACCTTCTCCACTGTCCACAGTGAAAAAAATTCCACTAATTATGGGGTGCTTATGGAGAAACATCTAAATCAACATCTATTTTTTGACCCAGTGAGCCAGAGGGATCCATAAGTCTCATCCACCTGAACAGAAGGGTGTCCAACAGATCACATTTATATGCAATGATTCCTGAAGGTAACTCTGAATAGGATGTTTAAGAAAAACCTGTAGGTAATACTTTCAGTGCTGACAATAAAGTGGTGTACGTAATGTTTTGCTGATTATTCTATAGCAGGTATTAATTTTGGTTTTCTGGTGGTTTAGGTGTGGTCCATTTTGGCGTGAACTGCTATAATAACAGATTCAGTTATCAGTAAATGTGTAGCAAGTCATTGATCGAACCGGACATCTTGTTCTTCTAAAGGTTAGTTAAGATAAAAAAAATTAAACGTTTGTTAGTACTTGTTCATTTTATTTTCAAAGCATAAACTTATCCATTTAACATAAGGTGTTTGAAGAGGAAAGTATAAAATCAGATTTTTGTGACGAAGGGAAGAGGATTGAGAAAACAGCTATTTGGGATATAAAAAGAAAATAATTCAGAAAGACTTTTAATCCTGGATGCTCAGTAAAAGAGAAACATGATACCAGCATTAATCGGATATGATAGAATATGGAACATGACCTGGGTAGTGAAACCATAAAGGAAAAGAAAATAAGAAGGAGAAAAGGGATGGAGAAATGGAGGAAGACTGAGTGACGTCCAGTTAATGCATCCGCTTGGTGGGCAGCAGGCTGATGCACGGGAACCGCGACAACCATGGAAAGAGAACGTGGCGTCGCTCTTCAATGACGGACAGGCGACCGCGATGTGGATGTTGGCACGCACCCGCACACACACACACTTACACACACACGGCTGTGCCATAAATCACCAAACCGACAGCCATGACCTTGGATCAGAGCAGCAGCAGAGACGGCCCTGGAACACACGTGTGGCCTCAGTTTCTGAGCGCTTAGGGGCCAAACTGGTTCCTGAATATTTATTTCAATGCTCTGCACCTCAGGTGGTCCCCATGGTTTCCTCATGAGCTCTGTATCTCCTCAAAGATGTGAGGGGAGGAATAAAAATGAGGGAAGAAAAGCTGAACAAAATAGAGGCAAGAAAAAAGTAAAGAAATCTGTTTGAGTTTCCTCAAAATCCATCTACAGTATTAATAGGTCAATAAAATTTGACTTAACAATAGGCAGTAGCAACTAGACAAAACTGATTAAAAGTTATTTAAAGATAAAAAAAAAAGGGCTTTGCCTTTACGTTTCACTTCCAAAAAAATAATAATTTTAACATAAGGCAACAACAGCTTATTAACTAATCTAGCTTCATACTGGTTGAGTTTCATTCTATATATTTTAGTTTTTTTTTTTTATAAACTTATCCACACCTCATACCATAAGTACTGGGTTCATTTGAATCATCAAATATTACCCACTTAAATCAGAACATCTGTGATGGGTGAAAGATGGGTGTCATGGTGTGACTATCTGGATTCTTTGATGTGTTCAAGTGTTTACCTTGGGTTTTCAGTTACACTTTGATTTATGTCATTCTGCGTTTTCTAGTCATTAACTTAATTTCCTTTTAGTGTAGTTGTTTACTCTATTCATTGTTCATTGGTTTGTGTGCCATATATATATATATATATATATATATATATATGTTCTGGTTGCTGTGTTTGTTATTTCTGGGTATCATGCTGTTATCGCCACTCTCATCATTAAAACTTTAAAGAAAACATCTCTGCCTCCGTCTCTGCATATGAGTCCTCTACAAACCTTCTCCCTTTACAAGGGTAATTTGAAATTTGTTATTGAGGACAGTGACTGGAAAGATGGATTTCTTGAGGCTAATAGAAATAAACAGACTTTATTTGAGAGAAGTTGACTGAAAATTGAATGCTTTTTGTTATTAATTATAATGATATATAAGATGTCACTCACCAAGGTCTGCAGCTGTGTATCTCTTTCCTCTGAACTGGATTGCGTCATCTTCATAGATGGGTTTCTTTAGGTTTCGTCGTTCACATAGTCTGCAGAGCAGCTGCCTGGGTGTAAGCTGATCCCTCCACTGGTTAAGTCCTGATCTAATATGGGATGTAAAAACAATCATAAAGTTCTGCTATGCAACACTGGTCAAAATAATCTTCTTTTAAAATATTCTATCATAAAATAATCCAATGTAAAGAGATGGTCTTGTTCACTCACATGCAGTAGGACTTTGGCAGACCGCATGTGGCTCCATATTTGGACAGGAAGCGATTCTCCAAGTCAATCACTGTCTCTCCAATCTTTTCGTCTTTTGTGACCATATCATGGTCATATAACATCACCCGCAGGTCCTTGTCCACAGGGAGGGAGCAGGTGAGCTCAAACATCCTGCAGAGAAAAAGAGTAAACACTGAACCAGTCTGTGGATGTTTCAGCAAGATGGGCTTGATAGTCTTGAGATGTTCAAGGCTAATTTGTTTATAGTGCAGAGAAAATATTATTCTCAACTTTACAAATGTGACTCAAATGAATTATTGGCAAAACAGGCTACATCTGACTCGAGCAGGGTACAGAAATTAGTGTTGGGATCTAGAGGTCTGTCCACCTTCCTCCAGCAGAGGGCGCCTCTAGGTCTCCTGGAGCTGAGCTGACGACCACACCTGCGATCCATCAGTCATCAGGAGACCAGCATATAAGCTGCGGCAGGACTTCACTCCAGCGCCAGAGTGTTAAGCCAGTTATGGTTAGCGAAGCCTAAGCCAACCAGTCTGTCTGATTCTCTGACTCCCCTGAACTTAGAACTTGAACCTGATCAGTTTTTGTCTTCTCTGCCTTCTAGGAAGAAACCTGACTGAACCCTGGAACTCTGGAAGAGTTTCATCTGCTGAAATCTGCCTGCCGGCTCTCTGGAGCTCAACTGAAGAATCTAACTGTCTGAACCTGCCTGCCCACCCTCAAGAAGGTGGGCAGGCAGGATCGGAAGAAGACTCTGGATCTGAACACTGATAAGTCTGAAGTCAAGCCCTGCTGTTGCTTAGCCCTCTGCCAACCTCTAGCCTCTGGACCCACCTGGTTCCCTTCCTCAGCTGCTAAGTCTGAATCTCGTCACAGGTACAAACCTGCACAATTCCTCTGACCAAGATCTACAGCATCCTGGCTAACCTAACTGTCCCTCTCTACAGAGAACCCTGTGTGACCAGTCCCGGATCTGTTTCCCTGCATAACTCATATAACTTGTGTTTGTTTTCAATAAACAGTCAAACTTTTCATCTGCCTCCGTTGTGTTCTGCATGTGGGTTAGAACCCTGAACCCAATCATGACAATTAGAAAGAAGGACTTAACTTTAGATAAGTTAGATCTTTTGTTACACAGATAAAGTGGAATGCTCTTTTGCTTTTAGAACTGCACTGCTTGTCTGTCATGGTGAGGTAGGAAAATCAAGGGTCTCAGTTTGCCATTTTGACTATACTCTGGCACTCACCTACGGTCATAGGAACTGAATCAGAGCCGAAGAAGATAAAGCTCTTCCTCAGGTTGGTAAATAAAGCTCTTCTATCTGGGAGAACCTCAGTGGAACCACTGCTACTTTGCACCAAAAAGTCCTGACTAGAGTCCATCAGTTTAGAGGTTTTCCAGGCAGGTATCTTTGAGCAGAGATCCTTAAACAGAACCAGGACTTAATGGTGGACGCAGACACAAACATTTCCTTTGGGATTTAAATCTGGGGGACACTTTTCAGTGCTTTTGGTTCTTTAAACTTATTTTACACTTTTTTTTATTACTTCGTCCCATGTTATTTGAAACTGCATTGAGATTTTGATGGAAGAAAAGCAAATGCATTTTATCGAGGCAACTATATTGAGTAAACAAGTTTACTCAATATAAGCCGAATCCCAATGAAAGCAACTTGAGCAGGCAAACTAAGGCAAGTAACATCTTAGAACAGAAAAGGCAACTGGTTAAAGTAGCTTGAGGTTGTTATTGGGATATTTCATGTAACTTTAAATGCAGTGTCACCTGTGTGGGGCATACAATGCATTTCTAGACACACTCAACATATTCTCATTATCAGTTCGTATGAAATTGTACGAAAAGTTATGTTTTTTCTCGAAAAAACAGATCAGTGCGCATGCGCAGCCAAAAAAAAAAGCAGATCCGCGGACGGACGTAAAACTGGAAAAAACAGTGCAATAATTACTTCTTGAAGTCTCTCACTAGGTTGCTTGCTGTTTTGTATCTTAGGGTTAGGGTTAATTGTATGTTAAATTCTATGTTATTGAATGGTGCGTAAGATGCACATGCGCAAGGATATCTTGTCTCGAGGCAAGACGTAAAAATATGACGAAATACGACGAAAACAACGTCAAAAACGTACGAAATACTGTGCATAACTTTTCGTACGATTTCATACGAACTGATAATGAGAATACACTGACACACTTCCGGTTAATTTTTGATTCAATTGAATGTACAGTTGACTTTTGTTCCTTTGGTTCAATTAGGGCAGCAACTGCTGAAGCTATTGCCTTCATTTTAAAATGATAACTACAATTGAAATGTAAAATCAGAGCTGTAATGAAAAAGAAAAATTAAATGAGTTTAAGGGAGTTATCGTTCATTATGTATTTTCCTGCATATATCATCATTAGTAATTTTTTATTTTTTTATATATGTGCCTTCAGTAAAGGGGCCATAACAGGGGCAAGGAGCAGTTCTACAGGGGCACTGGCCGCTACTGGTCCCTGTCTAGAATCCCAGGCTTACATGAGTAAAAATTTAGGGTATCCATTTTTTTTCCCCCTCTGACAAAATTAGATAGATGTCTATATTTATTTATAATTCATTTATACCATATATATCCCATCAAGGGGCACCATTTTCTCTCTGCAGGTCTTAAAAAAGTAGAGTTTTTTTTAACACTTTGTTAAATCATTATCCATCAAATGCAACATCATCTTCAGAATTTTCTACCTATAAGCTATTCAGGTATAAAACTTCTTTGCAAATAAGTGATCTTAAACTAGATCATTAGACATTTCTTTTAACAGCAACCTGTCACAGTTTTTTTTTCCAATATATTTACTTGAATGAATAACAGATAAAAATGATAATTTTTAAGGAACTAATGAAAGAGATGGCTCCCTCTAAACAATATTTTGTCACAGATGCAAACAAGGAAATATAAAGTAAAATGTTCAAAGACAAACTTTCAAAGTACCTTAGAAAGTCTGAAGAAATGCGGATTTAGACAGAAGATTAAAAGAGAACATGAATATATGCTTGAATTATCCATGTAAATATTAATGTGAGGGTCAGGGACAATTAATGTTTTCTTTGCACTTCTCTCTTCTTTGGCTCTAATTGTACAATGAATAAATAAATTGATAAATAAACACCTCTGATTATTTCCCTTAAGATCTGAGCTCAATGTTCATATCTGTGATTGGTTTGTGTGTACTGACCCCTACTGTCCAAAAAACTAACACGGTATCAAAATAATCAGAGGAGGAGATCACCACATTGTGACTAATTAACAAGCACAAGATAAATCTGTCAGCTTATTAATGGTGATGTAATAAATGCAGTCATCAGTGGCTCATTGTTAACATGTTTGATGTGTTCATGGAAAAGATTGCCTTAAATCTGAGTCATGATTTGGGCTGGAAAAAGCAAATCCACCCACTGTGAACACATTAACTGAGACAGAGTTCAACAGTAGGTGAGATGTGGCAAAGCTTTGGAAAACTTTCACACCCCTGCAACTTAGCCTTATTTTATCATATCGTGACAAATGTCAATGTGTTTCATTGCAGCAACAGGATAGAACCACCCAACATGCTGTATAATTGTAAATTGCCTCAGCCAGGGGTTCTACATGATTTGCTCAGTATTCAGTCATATCCACCTTTCCAATCAGCTTCCATTTCCATAATGAAGCAAATCTTGCCCAAATCATGAAGCCGTAAATACAAATATTTTGGAGTATTTTGCACTGTTCTTCAAAGATATTGATTCACATTAAGGCAAAAAGGGTGAAATAATTGGCCTTATATGATCAGATAATCTTTTCAATTTTTTTTTTTTATGTTTCCTTTAATCCAATAAATAGCACATGGCAAACTGCCCTTCTGTCTTAATTTGAAACTTGGACTCTTATATCTAAATTTCAGATTCACATTCCTAATTATCACTTTATTTTAGTTCATTTCTGAAGTGTTAGTACAAAACAACTGGGAATTAAAACCAATCTTTTGTTCTTGAACTCACAAGGCAGGTGTCCTGATACTTTTAATAATGTCTTTGCTTCAACACACCTGACTCCAATATAAGCTCAATGGCAGAGCTCTGCATACTGTTGCTAGTGAGGTAGTTAAGCTATTTGATTCAGGTGCACGGCAATAAACACAATTCAAAAAGTTGCAGGAACCTGGTCCTTGAGGATTTTTAGTTCAAGGTCACAGCTTAGACAATGGAATATGAAATACAGTCTTGAATTACAAATACTTCCCTTACTCTCTGTTACCAGTAAAATCTGAAGTTTCTCAATATTTATTCAAACTTATACAAGTTTGACACACCTGATTTAAAAAAAAAATCTATAAACATGGTATATTTGTAGTTGATAACGATTAAGTCAGTTTCATTTAACTTTTGCATTCTTCTGCAAACAGACCGAGCAAAAGGGATAGAAGAATACATACTTTCCAAACACGGGGTCCAAAGTACAGGGTATGTAGTTTTCATGGTCATTGATGGTCTTTTTCCCCAAAGTGATCTTTACATAAGGGTCACACTGAAAAAGACAGCAAATCACATTTTAGATTAAATTTTAAATGAATCTTCTTCTTGATGAGGGCATCAAAGACCTACCTTCCCGTTGGCATCTTTGGGCTGCAGCCCTTGAGCCTCGATTATGTAGACCCGCACCAAACAGTCTTCGATGCCATTTGGGGGAAGTTTTTTAAAATGTCTGGGGGGAGCTGGAGCTGACGGGTCATCTGGCAGTGGGTAGATCTTAAACATACCCTGATTCAGACACAAAAAAAATTAAAGCAGAATGTCACGTACCAATCTGACAGAGTAGATGTAAAAAAAATCTATTATTAAAATTCAATGTAACCAATTATAATAGTTTAAGGCACAGGATGCATTTTGGTGTTTACCTTGAACTCTCCCACAACCGAAGGGTCTTCTCCTTCATCCTGAGTCTTTCCCCTATATAGTTTAAATGTTTTGCAGAAGTCAGAGAGACCCTCAAAATCCTCCACCTTCTCCAACTCCCGGTCATAAACCTGAAACCCAAAACAAACAAAAAACAAAGGGGGGTCTAATTATTTACCAGGGGAAAGAGGTGACAAATAAAAAAATTAAATGTGAGGTTGGAGCGAATCAAACAAATTAAGCCTGACTTCAAGCAGAGACCAATAAGAACCTTAAAGAAGAAGATGAATTGTCTGGAACGACTAGAGCTGAGATTTTATAAAGCGTCAACATTTAAACTAGGCAATAAAACAGTGGAAGTGGAAGAAATGAAAAAGTCAGAGCAAAGATCAAAAAAATTTTTCCCAGCATGCTCCGTCCAAGGAGGCAAATTTATGTCAGTTTTTTTATTTTATAGAAATTGTATACATAACACATTTACAAATATTGACAGCCTTTCTTACGGTGTTTAAAGCATTGTATGAAAAAATGACAAAATCTGAACAGTAATCAGTTATGTAATTGATAATTTAAGGATCAGCCACAGGTGCTGAGAAAATAAGAACATTTGTATGTCTTTATGAGGTTTCTAACTAAACCCCCACGTTGTTTCATAGGTCATCCTTCATGAGTCTTTATGGATTTAAAGAGAAGCCAAAAGGCGAACAAACACAGAAACGCCTTACGTACATTTAGGCTGGCAAAAGATACTGTCTGCACTGTTTTTCGGAGCTGGGCGGTGACGGCTTTGTGTCAAAACTACAGGAAGGTTCATTTGTTTTCATTAGGGATGTTTGTTGCATCTGTCACAGCAGTGACTGAATAAGTCGAGAAGTGCTGCCAAAGAAAAACAAACTCATTGGTCACAAAGAGGGATTAAGTGGAAGGCTCAGCAGAGAAGGACACAAAATCGGGGTTAAATATTAGACCATTGTCATTACGACACTGTTAGCAGTCACTTACTCTTCTTACTCTTCTAATTTATGAATGTATGAGTCTGACTGTCTGGGAGTTAGTCACTCACAGCTAGATCATTTGAATCTTAAGATGTATATTAAAGAGGACAAGAAACCAAAAAACAAGGAAAGGTGATGTTTAGATTATAAGACGTTCATCATTGTAAGTGTCTTTGTTAGGAGTTAAAGTAATGATTTCAATTATACAATTTACACAAAACATTATTGTGCTAACATAACTAATTATCTTATAGTTCAGTTATTTCAGGGCATTTAATGAGCCATTTAGTTTAGAGAGAAATAGTCGTACAATATAAAACTATTTCATGAAAACAAGAACGTAGCTTACAACTTTGAATTGAATGTGTCTGGATATTTAACCTTGGTTGTTAGCAGAACTGGTAGAGTTCCTTTAAACTGACACTGAGGCAGAGGTGGAAGCTGAAGTTCACCTTGATGCTCCTCAAGTTTTTAAAGGGGGGGAGTTCCCGTCATGCATCTGGTCTTTCAGGCACTACTCCAAGTCTAGTCTGAACAGTTTGAGGAGGGAGTCCAATTCTAGCCACAAGTCTTTAGAGGACAAATCTAGCCAAAGTCTTTACCCCTACAACACGTCTAAACTTTGAAAGCGAACCCAGCTAAAGCTTTAAATATTTAAAAAGCAGATCCTAAGTTTTTTTTACTATGTGGAGCACAGATGGAAAGTATATGTTTTCTTATAAAATGCACTGTCCTATAACACTACATTCTCATAGATCAGGAGATCAAAAATGACAGTTCATCGACAGCATATTTCCACACATATGCATTTAACAGTCATATTAAACTTATGTTAATTATGACAATTTATCTTATTTTAAAAATAGTTTCAGCATCAGAGAAGTTTTATGTGTTTATTGTCCAAGAAGTACATTGAATGGTTCAGGGTCAGTCATTGGATTTATAAGATGATTAGAAAAACACTTTCTAAATCAGTATTTCAAACTCTGTTGTTGAGTTTGAGTATGAAGAGTTTCTAATGATGCAGCTAGTCAAACAAATATATAATATTTAGAAGAGAAATATATATTTGTTGCTGTGCCTATGAGTGGGTTGTTATAATATAGGCTACAACCACCCATTTAATCTATAATATCTAAAAGTCTCTGGCAAATATTTCAAGCACCTCTCACTGTTAAAAATCAAAATATAGGTATGGAGAACATTACCTCTTACTCCCAATTCAATTAAATTAAGTTTTTTTTTAAGTCACAAATAACAAGTCTATGAAGCCCATGTCCAGCATAAATAAAAGTAAAGTCTAAGGATTTTTTTGAAGGACTATTAGTCGGAGACTAATTTCTTAGATGTGCTTTGCCTTTGTCCCATCTGGCAATAAATGCTTTTCTATAAAGCAATTGGAGTTCCTCTATGATGGGCTGCAAATGTTGTTTGAGCTCAAAGGTGTTGGTTTTGAAGCAGGTTCTCTGTTTCTTAAGGCTTGTTGACAAATACATTGGTGTTCTAACAGTTTTTATCTCATAATGGGCTTCAGCCTTGGAGGCCAGTGAGTTGTTCTGGAACATCATTACCCATTTCCTTTTGTCTGAAGGTGAGGATTTACATTTTAAAGGCTTAAAATTAATATGACATCCATGGCTATGATGAATATATATAAACTCCTGATTTGAATTATGGATTAACCTTCGCCTACAGGGACTTTTTACTTCTTCTAGGATATGATATATTCAGGTCTTCATTTCAGACTCTGCCATTTGAACAACAGTACCAGTCCAATTTCAGTCAAAGGGTAGAGGAAATCACTTAAGAAGGCAGACAAAGAGTAAGGAGGTGGCAGCTTTGGTCTAAAGGAAGGTAAAGGTTGGAAATAACAACTCATTTTCCTAAAACAGAAGGGGTTGTGCATGAAGAGCTTGTTTAACGGACTAAAGGAACAAGAGAAAACGTCCAGCAAGACTTTAAAAGGAGGAGGTGCTGGAACAAAATAACTGTGACTGGAAGAACGAGGAGGGAATGAAAAAGACGCCAGGTAACAATTGGATCGACAGCTCATTTCTCAGCTTTTACCCATGTCCATTAAACTGTCAAGTTACATTGGAAGCAAAAGTTTGGACTTTAAGGGGACAGAATAAAATATTCTATTTAAATCTCAGAATTCAAATGACAGCCCATATATTTATAAATGGGAGCTTTTTATTGATCAGTAACTCATTAGCTTTTAGTTCAGGAAGGTGTTATTGTAGTCAACTATTGACAGAGTGAAGACTTGGTGATAAAATCACTTGGAGATGTTCTTTATATCAGAGACAAAGTGTGTGAAAAGTACAGCAGCAATAAAGTCCAAAGGTTTCTAATGATGGCTAAAAGACAATAAAATAAACAGATGGGGGTTGAAACTGAGGCATGTACGTGAAGCTACTTTTATAGAAAGGCTTAAGGTTAGATAAAAAAATCTCCCTGAAAAAAAAGAAGTTTAAAAGTCACATTTTGAGACGACTCTGGGCGCCAGAAGAGCAGAACGACAATTGCTTTAAGGTCTAGTGGAGTGGAAGGTCACTTTTTGGACCAAGAGAATCTGGATAAGGGTCAATCAAAGCGTGGGCGACGCAAAAGGAAGGAGACTCCAGGGAGATAGGCAGACATTAGGATTGCTTGTTTCAGACATTGATGACATCAGAACTTTGCCTTCAATCTGTCCCACTGCTGTGATCAGAGAAAGGATTCATTTTGTGGACTCCTGATGACGTCTAAGGACAGGGCATGAGAACTAGTTTTTGTAGGGAAAACACAGACAACCACAAGGATGGGAGCGAAGTAAACCAAACCAGTATATATTACCTTCTTTGATGTGAACCTTTCCCCTTTCTTACTAACAAAAGCTGCAGTTATGCTTCTAAATGTGGTAAAGATGACTTTCTGAAGAACAAACTAAACATGAATTACATGATAGAAGGTTTAGGTGATTTTGAAGGTGGTCTTCTCTGAGAGACTTCTGATCTACTAGGATTTCCATGCAAAAATGTATCTGGTTTACCGCTGTTCTTGGAGGGAAATGTCTTGTTAGCTAGAGATCAGGGGAGACTGGGCAGACTGGAGTGAGATGAAAGAAAGGACACAAAACTATAGAAAAATACTTGTTAGAAGCACAGTATACTGAGTAGCATCTCTTAACAAAGTAAAGGTTGAATCTTGAAACAGATGGGCTACAACAGCAGAAGACCAAACCAAGTTCTGCCATATATCTGCAAAGAACAGAGAAACTGATGCTGCATTTCCCACAGGATTCTCAAACCTGGAATCTGGTTTTCCAATCAGGCTGGAAAACTTTGCCTGTCCTGATGAGTCTCAATTTTGGAAGAGGTTTAATAGAGCTGTGTATACTTTGTTTATACACTTAACACCCATTATAACTTACTATATATTGCTGGAATGCCAGTATGCCAGGTATCAGCTACTTGTGTTTACTCAGAGAAGAATTATAATTTCCTGCAAGGGATTAATTAAGTAACTCTGATTCTGATTTACCAGAGTTACTTTAAAAAATAATAAAAATATTTTTAGGAATAGTTGTACTACCCCATAATTCCCATTCAGTGAAGTTATTCATCCATTGTGGCTAGCTTCACTGGTTTTCTACAAGCTTGTTTTAAACAAAAGTGCTCCAGACAAACAAACACAGTTAATATTGTTATATTGTTTATACACAAGCTTACCTAATATTGGTTTTATCTACCGTGACAAAACCATGAAAGTCAAGCTAAAATACAGTGAGGAGAAAAAACAGTGATGGGAGGTATTTCACACTGGTCTCACATCCATACATTATAATTGAACTTTATTGATCCCACATTGGAGAAACTTACGTCTGCATTTAACCCATCCCCTTGGGAAGCAGTGGGCTGTGATCCTGCAGCGCCCGGGGAGCAGTGTGGGGTTAAGGGTCTTGCTCAGAGAGCCAGATTGGCAGTCTGTGGGAGTGGGGCTCAAACCCAGAACCTCAGGATTTGAAGCTCTATGCCCTAACCACTAGGCTGCCATAAACTTGAAGAAAATTGTTTTTGCCCCATTGCCTGGTTGCATTTTCTTTAAACATGTTTTATCCGCAGAACTCAATTTAACAATGTTTTTACCACTTTTAAACAGTGACTCTTCCCAAAGTGACCCAGGAAACTGGAAACTCTCACATCTTAAAATTAAACTGTTAATTTCAATGATTACAGTTTTTACCATTTTGTTTAAAAAGATTTAAAAGTTTACTTTAGGTTTTCCCCTACATCAACAATTAACGTAATTTACACCTCACCTTCAGAGTATCCAGGCCGTTCTCCAGGTAAGTCCCACACTTGTTTTTATCTCCAATGGAAGCATAGAATTTACTCCACCAGTCCATGAACTCCTCGGCCTAAAGACAAATGTTCAGAGTTAGAAAACAAAAAATTTAAGTGAATTTTATGTATAAAATGCTTTATAGCAAAGGGTCTGTTTTTTTCTCTCTGACAGTTGTTTGAGATTTGTCAAGACCTCTTAAGCAAATTGTTGATTTTTATCGGGGGTGTTCCGAAATATTCTTAAATCCAAAACACATAATTTTCACTTTAGGCCTGAATTCAACCCCACTTTTTCTTTACTGTGTTGCTAACTGATGTAATCTCAATATATAAACTGACATCCCTTCAATCACCGAAATGCCTTTTTTCCAACTGGGCTTTGGATGATCATTACAAAAGAATTTTCTTGACAGCTGAACTTATTTAAAATTATTTGACTTTTCAAACACATTTAAAGTCCTGTATGAACTTCTGTTTGTCTTTGTTATGTTTGCTATGTAGCACTGGGGTCAGAAATAACCATGATTTTTCCAGTGATCACATTGGAGATGGAGTTGGCCAACTCACGTCAACACGGCTAAAAACTGTCTCTCGTGGCTCCATGGCATTAAGGTCATGGTATATGGAGATTTGATGCAATGGAAAAGGGGAAAGCAATGGGGAGAGGTACAATCTAGGCAAAAACCGACATGCACACCAGAGGAACTATATTATTTTAAAAATCCTGATGTTTGTGTATAAAGAAAAGGAAAGTTTCTGCTTGTTTTGAGCTGGTTTTCCATACCTTTTATAAAACTGTGTAAGCAATGCTTCTTATCAGATTTACGTAACCATAACACCCATTGAACTTTTGTTTTCCAATACGTTGCCTTGAATATAATTTTTTTAAGCTGAAGAACAATCTGTGAACAGACTTACCCATTGCAACAGCTATGGCCCGCATTAACAGTAAGAAAGAAAATAAATGTAAATGTTTGAGAATCATCCTATTCTAGACTGTGAATACGTGTCATCCATACTATCAGAATTGTGCACATTAAAACAATAAGAACAAACACATTCAATGGAAGTATGACTTTTTCATTCATGTAATACATGAAGGATTTCAGTCTAAAATGAGACACTCACCATTTCAGGAAAAAAAATGAAGTGACCCCTGTATTACAACATGACTGCTGGCATGAAAGTGAAGGTTGTTAAAGTTACTATTACAGCTATGAGTCATGCTGAGGTCTTACAATGTCCTTCTATTCATAGGGTGAAACACAGATCTTTGATTTGAGATGCTGAGGCTTGGATGATTGTCATTTTGACTAATTTAAAGTGATTTTTCAGGGATACATAATGGTTTAAATTGAACTGGGATGCAATAAAGTATAAAGCTGCTTTGTGCATCAAATTTACAAAAATGATCTGCTCATTTTGGCAACATCAACCATAGGGTTAATAAAAAATGTTTTTGCATTATTTTCTTCCAAAAATAAATTCTGTCATTTTGTGTGATTGTGACTGTGATGGAAGAAGGGAACAAGCCTATAAACAGAAATAAAGCCTCACATTTAAATGCAATCAGTCTCCACCCTGCCGCACTAAACCCTCCAAGGAGCACTCAAATTGGTGACGCATGCACGTCTCTTAACTTTCTGTGCATTAATGTACAACAAAAGTGCTGTTATAGAAGCAGGTTTGTGCGGAATCCCCTTTCTCATATTTCCCACAGACTCAAATACACACACAATCACTTAAAAGCACAACTAGGGCAGGGAACACTATGAAATTCCTAATTTTTCCAAAGCAGCAGCCCTTGATGGCATGGAAAAGACAAGCATGTGGGGCTCAGCACACACATACGTCTGAGGCTCGAAGCCGTCTGCTGTGCGTTAATGTGCCCTCTGTGTGCAGCAAGTGCCAAACACTTATGACAGGGGCGCCAGTGAGTGTTCGCCCACCATCGTTTCAGGGTGTGTTCGCTCAGGTCCACGAGACTATGTTCAGACAGATTAAAGCCGTAGCTGGACCGTTCCAGGCTACAACATGGGAGCCTGGAAAACGAGTGTACACACACGAGGCCTGTAGCGGTCGGTAAAGGGTGTCGGTGTGGTCTGCAGCCAATAATTATGCCCCGCAGGAAAAGCCAGAGTAACCAAATAAGACTGGCACTGCCAATAGCTCTCAGAGCAGAGCGACAGGATTTACATAAGAGCTCTGAGATGCTTCATAAAAGCTTTTATGGGGAAACCCCATCCACTTCAGGGTCAGCGGTCAGGTCAGATTTCTGCATTTGTGGCAATTTGTTGTGTGGCAAGACACAAGGCCCCGTTCATCACCCAATTACGAAACATATGATTTAAACTTAATTATTTAATGCTATAAAAACATCTGGAAAATACAGAGGGCTCCATCAATGGCAAACTGAAGGACACAGAGCTAAAACCAGAAGCGCTAAAGTGCAAGTGTCAATAAATCTTATACAATCCAGTGAAGAAAGTGAAACTCATGTGGAGAAGTGTCTGCGGCCTTACAGATAAATTGTTTCTGGTTTTTTAAAAGTTTATAAAAAACTTTTAGATTCAACAAATCATATTATCAGATAGTTTCCCTGAGTTGATGAAGTCTGATTATTTTCACTTATTCGTTTTTTTTAAAGGGACATTGTGTAATAATTTTGCTGCCTTAAATCAATTATTTCATTAGTGCATGTGTTATTATCTGTGTATTATTACATTCACTAAAAATGAATACATTGTTGTGAGCGAAGAAGTAGATATTAGTCATTGCATAAGCCTGGTCACCTGCTTGTGAAGCACAATGACAGCCGGCTATTTTGAAAGTACAGCTGCAGGAGAGGGATTAAAACAGTATTAATGAGCGTAATAGCAAAGCATTTTCCCTTGCATCGGACAAGCCTTTTCCAGGTGGAAAGAGCCAATAAATGAGAAGGATTAGAAAATGGACGTTGAAGTTACCATGTTTCTTCATGACAAGTAAGTAAACTTTACTGCTATAGTTAGCCTAATGATAACTCTTTCCATTCTATTTAATTAGAAGGTGTTGCCTGTTACCATAGAAAGATCCAGAAAGCACATACAAATCCTGTTGGTACAGAATTTTAGGTTTACATGGGTTTGGTTCCTCTTAAAGCCATAGTGAAGGCTGGATTTTTGTCACAGTAAATGCCAGCTTGCAAAACTTCAATTCACTTCGGATGATATAGTTACATCTGCATTTTTGAGGATTTGTGACAAACAGCCACTATCACTGCCGCAATAAGAATTTGAGGCAGTGGGATATCATTTGTTATAATAATAAATTTGACTCAACTAATCACATTTCAATGGAGGGCCAAGGTCCTTCATACTAGCCACACCCAGGTCCCATTACTACCAGACCTGAAGAATCAAGAATGACTGTCGGACAAAGCGAAGTAAGTAACAAAAGTATTGCAATAAAAATCAAATCACAACCTGATTTGAATCAGATCAAGTGTAGATGAGAAACAAAGTCACCGACATCTAATAGAATGAAAAATGTTGTAAAACCTTTTTGAGGGATTTTTGTCCCTTGAGTCCCTATATTACCCCATGAACACATGAATGATTCCTCTAGGAGGTCTAAAGGAAAACTACAGTAGAACAACATCTAGAAAACTACCAGCCTGACTTTCTTCAGTTAAGGTCAAAGTTCATGAATTAAGAATAAGAAAGAGACTTGGCAATATGGCACCTAAGGGAGAGTTTAGGAGTACCAAAAAAAAAAAATGAGGTATTTTTATTGATCCTTAAGTATTTGAGAAAAAAGTTCTATGGACTGAGAAGAAAAAAGTCGAAGTTTCTGAAAGACTATATCTTCTTATATCTGATATAAAGCTAAGCATTTCAGAAACAGAACATCTTACAGGCAGAGGTAGTGGCAGAAATTCTTCTCTCAACCAGAAAACCTGGATGGAGAATGTCCACCCATCGGTATGTGACCTTAAGCTCTGGCTCACTTGAGTTATGCAGCAGAATAATAATCCAAAGCAAATCAGCAAAAGTCCAACACTAAATGACAAAAAAAAACTTTGTGGCTGAATTAAAACAATCTACATAGAGTGGGCTAAAATTCCTCCACAGCAAGATGCCAGTCACTTCACCCACTTAATGGCAATCGTTAGAAGAAACCCAGTTATTACGGTTTAGAGGGCAATTTTATTTTCACATACTATAACCAATACTGCTTAATGTGGAAGGAAATCTGTGCAGTCTTGGGAAAACAAAGGATGCCTTATAGCTAAGTAGATTTTAGAACCGTATTTGAAAACAATGATTTGATGTAGTAGTTTTTTTTGTAACCTTTTACACTAACACATTATTGTCGAGGAATTTTCAGCCAGCTTCTATGTTTTAGCATTGCTTAATTTAGCAAAATAATTATCTCTGCATCACTTCTCTTAAATGACACTACACTATTTCAATCAGGTTGATGTGTAGACTTTAATGGAGTAATTCCAAAACCTTTATTTTTCTCTTCTTCAAACATTCTAAAGCAGATTTTCTGCTGTGTTTGTGCCCCTTGTCTTGTTGATGAGGCAATTTGGATCTGAAGTCTTTGGCCTTTAAAATACAGTAGAAGCCATTCAAAATGGACCTTCCCAGTGAAATGCCAGCAGAACGGCAGCCCACTTCCCTTGAACTCCCAGCAAATTCCCATCCAACTTCCAGCCACTGGCCTTCTCCTGTGCATTCATATTTTTTTACTCTGACTTCACCCTTATACTGAATTACAAAGTCTGACCTGGAGACGATGCTTCTCTTTAGATCTTAATGTCAACGAATCATGACAGAAAAAATATTATTGTGCAAATATTGATGTTAAAAAAGGAATTGTACGGGACCAGCCAAGGGCCCATCAAGGAAAGTTGGGAAATTTTGAATGGTTTCTACTATACAGTATGACTTTACATTCACCTCTAGAAAACATCATAGTTCATGGTTGAGTCAGTATCTAAAAGGTGTTTGGTTTTGTGGCTGTAAAAGAGCTGAAACCAGAGCCCATCCAATACTGTGTTTGAGAGAGTTGTTGATGTGGTGCTGACATAATGTGTTTGGTTTCCTTCTAACATGGCAGTGTCTGTTGTGGCCTAATGTCTCAAGTTTGCTGTCAGCAGTTGAAGGGACATTCCAAAAGACTGGTGATTCATTTAAATGCAACTTTTGGACTCTTAGTCTTGTTTCAGTACCTTAAACCTTTTCTGAAGGAAGAGGTTTTGTGATGTTTACCCTTTCTAATGAGGCAATGTTAACTTTAACAATTAACATGCCAGAAGAGGTCTGAAACACAACTTCGTGATCTTTTGCAGCTGTCATGGCCATTGCACAGGATGATTTCAGGGTGAATCTGCTCGGATGTGAACTTGTGGGAAGCCTATCAAGTCCGGTAAACATTTCCTTGTTAGTAATAATTTTTCTTGCTTTAGAAAGCTATCGACTCTTCCAGAGATTATCTTTGTATATAAAAAGTTTTGTCCCTTCATTGAAGTGACTTATTCTGAGAATCTTTCATCTAATATTAAACAGTCTACATTTACCAACCTTGGTTAAACTCTACTAATTGTTACTCTCTTAATCTCAAAGGCTTCATCAAAAAGACTCTAAAGTAAAGATGTCCTTTCCTCAATCTGTTTAGTTGGCAGGCTTAATACTTCTCAAAATCTGCACAGATTTTTGGTAGAATAGCTAAAAAACACCCTGCTTAGAGTGAAGAATGTGAATCAACTAGGCCTGTTTTTGTCATTTGCTGCCTTGTGGTTGAAGGCAGAGCACCATACCTCAAGTAAAAATTTGTGGCATCTTTCATATAAATAAATTTCTCCCCTGCGATTACTGACTGACATTACACAGAACGAGTTTAAGCCCAGTGCTCAATTTCTATTTGCTTCTTTAATCCTGCGCTGCCTTGTAGCAAACTATTTTTATGGTCAGAAAAACGACAAAATTATCTGCTAGATGCCAGTGACCAAAAGAAGAAAAGGTTCAGTTTACAGAGATGGATATACCCGAAAGAAAAACACCTACATATGCTCAACAGATTCTCACTTCTCTGCTTTTGCCTATCTACTTCAGAGAGAGCTGGGGCCCTCAATACATTAGAAAAGTACTGTACCAAGTCAGTCGTGAAAGGTTGATGTATGACACCAGGTCCAGTAGTGCTGCAAAAAGTTACATTTGTTGTAGCAAATGTCTTCTGGTATCTGGATCAATAACATTTTGCATGTATTATGAAATAGCTTAGGGATAGGTAACATCAGCAAAAGCCACCTGCAGATTTGCACACATCCCTTCTTTATCACAGATGAAGCATGGTAAATGTCCAGGCCTCTGCTAAACTTAACAACAAGTCAGGGAGGTCATTTGGCTTTTTGTTTCAGGTGTGTTGGAGCAGGACAGTGGCACTCGAGGAACAATATTGCGTACCCCCGCAATGGCTTTTCATTCCTTTTGCAAACTGTATGGTTTTAACTCAGATATGAACCTATTGTAAGACTTTAAATACATTTTCTTTTCCATAGTTATCCATTTAGATGGCAGAATGTAAGAAAACAACCTTGCATGGATTTTGTAAATGTTGCTATAGACATTATCTAAAAGAAGGACATGGAAGCATTTTAGTAATAGATGTTTATGCTGGGATTTCTCCTTGCACCTATAAAAATGTAGACTGTGCGATACAAGCCACGACTCCACTGTCCAGGAACTTTCCAAGAACAAAACATTCTGTGTGTCATCACTCAAACAGCTGCATATACACTGACTGCCTTTTTGGCAATTGTGAGTCACTGTTGTTTAAATGGAATTTGATAACCTTTATTTTCAGTCTGTTTTGTATTTAAATCTCATACTCCTTTTTATCTTCTTGAATGATCACAATCCCATACCATACATACGTAAATAAATAAAGTGGTAAAAGCCCAGCTATCTGCAGGCAATGCAAAATAGCTTAGGCTAGAAATATTAAAGTGTATGAAGTCAGTCAAAACCTAATGCTAATTGCTAAAACTAGCTAATTTTATGTTGCTTTTATTTGTTTCAGATCGTTTCTCCTTAGTCAAACAATTTGGCCATACTGTATATCTCATTAGACGAAAAATCTCACAGTCAGCCAAATGCCTGACAGTGGACTTTCAAATGCAATGCACCACCCAGCTCTGCATGGACACATCTGAAGGACATTTTGGGCTGAAAATATGTGGAGCGCTTAAAGTTTTAGGGGAGGGCAGCAGCTTACATCAGTCTGTGGCCGTGATTAGCAGAACAAGAAAAACAATATTGATTTAGTAAGCTATTTTGACATCTTGTTTCTGGTCACAGTGTCATTTTAGGGCCATAAATGCGTGTTCCCCCTCAACAACATTTACAACATAAATGTAACCCCCCTCTTTCCACATGCCACAATGTCGCCTGGCATGACGGCATGTCGGTTAGTTCCTCTGGTTTAAGGAATCCAGAAAGGATTTATAGAAGCGGAGGCAAACTACAACATTTTCAAAGTGGGATTTTAACCCAATCTGACTGGCTGTTGGCAAAGGACCTGAATAGTTTTGATTGAAATTGATGGGAATGGAGAGGTTTGACCACCTTTTTTTCACCTGGAGAAAAAAGAAAATCGGCTCAGAAACCACATTATGTACATCTGATCTGCCTGATTTCTTGAATACAGCTTCCTTGTACTGAGGGGGCGAAAAAATCCCAGAGAGATACTGTCATCAAGCTTGCATCCTGAAGATCAGATGTGACGTTTTTCCATTTCAGATATGCCTGTTTGTGGAGTCATAAAGCCTCTGAGAGCTGATCCTTTTAAACTTTCCAACGCTGAAACTAAATCCGACTGGAAGCAGCTCTGCAGTACACTTTGCTACAGTAATGTGGTAATCATCAGGCTCGATTTTCTGGTCTTGACCCAAACATAAAGGAGCCAGTTTTCTTTTGCTGGTGCCATGCGACATTACCTCCCTCTTTTTCCTCCTTTCACTCAAACCCTTTCTGATTCTTTCAGTCACTCAGCCTCTCCTTTCCTCAGTATCCCCCTCTTTAACCCTCTCTCATTTATTTCTTGTGGTAACTGTCGGCGCACAGGGAGTTGTGGTACAGAGGATCTATAGCAGTTCTGTTGACTTTGGCCCAGAGCAGACAGAAAGCCGAGCCTTTAATTTGAGTGGTTTCAATATCTGTCCCCTTAATAAAACAAATATCTTTGTTTAGAAAGAAAGAAATAACCCCCCCAATTACTGTCGAGTGAGGAACTACTGGATGTGAGTGTGCTAGAGTCTGCTCCGGTTCGGGCCTAGTCTTTGAATTGACCTGGCTTTAAAAAACAAAGACGTGAGAATGCTACGAGGAGCGAGGTCTCCTCTGCAAATCGACGATCAGATTCCGTTCCAAACCGCAGGGATCGGAGGATGTCGCTAACCAAAAATCTATATATCTCTGCTTGGAAAGGAGTTTGAAATGTTCTTGTGCATTCCTTCCATCAGTCCTCATCTCTCTGAGCCAGTGACATCCATCAGTTTCAGTTAGTAAAGACTTTGGTGTGAATTTCTGACACAGCCCCAGACCAAGTGTAAAAATAAAGATATTCTCCCAGTTTGTTGCCAGTGAGAGCAGATCTGAATATATGAAACATGATACAGAGTGGCAATAAAACAGGTCTTCACATTTTGCCATGTTTTATAACAGAATTTCCTGTACATTATTGTATAATTATTTTGTACTCATAGTAGTACGTCTTAGTAAACTGAAAAGATAATGAAACATACTTTTCAAATATAGCTTATCAAAAATTAACAGCAGAATAATGTATTAACTGTTTAAAATGTAACCAATTGGATTCAGGAGTCATCTAATTCTATGCACTGTTTTCTGTAACTAAGACCTAGAGAATCACCTGACGGAATGGTCAGAGGGGATGGGAAAATGGTTTGAGCTCAAAACAGGGCAGAGATTTAAAGAACTGAAGGGTACATTGCTTAGTCTTTAATGAGAGCATGACTGAAGCGATGGTCTTTGATGGTACAGAAGAAGTTGTATGTGAAGCCAACAGAAACAAACCTTGGTTTTAAATCGGACTACAACTACTTTCCATGTAATTAATTAAGGCCAAATTATAAATAAGGGCCAAATTAAAGTCGGTGGTTACAGCAAATCACTATGAATCAATAATCCACAGATTTTTTTTAAATAGGTCAGTAGGTCTTCATTGAACAACTGCCATTGTCAGGCACTGCTGCTTTCGTTCTGCCAATATGGAAAAAAATTGCACACATTTTTTTAAGCTTTTAAGCTCAGAACTATTTCCTGTAAATTATATAATTATAAATCCTTGTTTTTAAAGTCTTTCAACGGTCTTGCCACTCATTACTGATTTTTTATGATCCTATGATCCCCTGTTCTCTACAAACTTGTAAAATTAAAAGGCTCTTAATAGCGTTTTTAATAGTTTAATAGTTTTAATAGTATATTTGCCTTTATTTTTTTCACCTGCTTGTTTTTAGTGCTTTAAAAGTAAAGTTTGATTGGAAAAACTGTAAAAGGTTGCAAAAGACTTGAAACTGGGGTAGAGGCTCATCCTCCAGCAAGAAAGTATACATTAGCATACAACACACAGGATGTTATAATGGCCTAGTCAAAGCACAGTCCTAAAACTGATTTAGAATCTGTGGCAAGACTTAAAAGTTTTGCTCACAGAATATCTCCATTCAATCTTATTAAACTTTAGCTATTAAGCTATTATGTAAAAAAACAAAACAAAAAAGAAAACGCTGGAAGGGAGATACTCCTTCACAGCTGCAGCTATAATTGCAGCCAAATGAAAAGGACCAGGAGTTTCTCCAAAGAGGGCAATACATGCAAACCACTTCATTCACACTTATGGTGCACTTTTGTTGCAATGAATCCCAATAAAAACAAAAAGAGCTGGTCTACAAAATGTGGCAAAATGTCAAGTAAAGGATGGCACATTGATGGGTACAGAGCGACAACATGTGAAAACTGGTAAATGAATTAATAGATAAATAACAGAATGACATGAGTTAAAGTATGAGTATGTTACCTACATGAAGGCTGGAACTAGAGGTTGAGAGATTAATGATAGCCGAACTGGCCCCATCTGCAAACTACAAGAAAACATGCAAAAGCAGACAAAAACACAAAGAGAACACACACACTTTGATGTTAGGTGGTTAGGGATATACACAACATAAAAATTAGACTTTTAACATTTCCCTGACACATATTTAACATCACTCAACTGAGGTTTTAACCTACAAACATATTTCACGATAGTGTTTTCTCATATACATTGGTCCCTGCCTGGACGTCCCCTGTGAAGATTTTCTAGAACCGCCACTGTTTGTAGCCCCTGACTGTGAACTTGGGTTGATATTTCATTAGATGTGTTGTTTTATTTGTAAAATTCTTTAAAGAAGATTAAACTATTTTCTGTTTGTAGGATGTAAAGTGTAGTCTCTATGATGTACTTTATTGCCCCTAAGTGAATTTGTACACTGTAATCTAACTTTCTATTTCATTTTTATGTTCATGGCTTCTTCATCACTGAGCGGCCTTTTAGCCTGAGTGAGTACAAGACTCATTTCAATGTGTATAAAGCGTTTCTGTTTTCAAATGGTATTTTAAATTAAATCTGAGTTTGATACAACAAAACATATTCCTCTCTGGGACACAGAATCCTTCTACCTCCTGAACTTTAATTTAGCCATTTCTCGTACTGTTTATATTTCTACATAATTGTCTGAAGAGCTAAATGTGGTCCCTGCAGGCATCAGGGGGCAGTAGGATGAAACAGTAGGTCCACAAATATCTTCCTCACATATTTCTTTGTGGATTTTCTTTGATTTGTTTATAATGTTTTAAACTGTACCGAAATGTTGTGAATTTACCTATAAGAAGTTTATAATGGAATTGAATCATAATACTGACTTTTCAAATTGTCTGGAAAGGCCTGGTTATCTTGGTGTATACATCACTGCATTATTTGGCAGTGAAATTGTAAATGTAGGTTAACTTAACTGAACCAAAACAGAAGTTTTAGCCTATTTGTGTTTAATCGAAGAGAGGTGACCTTAAACTTTACATAATTTACTTTTGGGTGGAACAAAAGAGTGATTTATTCTACTATATTTAGTTTTCAGCTGTTGAAGTGTCTCCTTTAGTATCTGGATGAGTGGAAAGCACACTGCAGTGTATGTTGTTCAGAAAAGCAGCTATATCTTGTAAATATATTCACCCTTTGAGGACTCCAATAAGGTGGGAAATTGACAAATGCAAAAAATTTGCTTTGGGCAGCAAAAAAAAAGCCGTTCCCTGTTTGCTTTTACTACATAGATAAAAAAAAAAAAACAAATTTGTTTATTACTGAGGTTGCTGACCAGATGTTCCATTTTACAGCTGTTTCCAAATGACATATTTCTATATCCTCCTCGAGTTAGAATCAGCAAACATGAGAAACATTCAGCAGGAACCTCAGATTTATTGTCTGGTTGAGTCCCTCTTATTGTGTCCACTTCGTTGTTTTGATGTTGGGCGCTTTAATTGGATGCGGGGTTTATGTCAGGGAGTGTACACTGATTTCGACACCCTGCTTAGACGCCATGGTCCCTCTGACACATAGAGAGTGATTTATGCTTCTTAGCTCATGCTGTGCATTTCTGGACCTCCCATGTTGGCACACATTAAAACCTGCTACTCCCACTTCAGCGCAATGAGACAAATGTGATTGAAGAGAATGGAAAATGTGCGGTTGGAGGCGTGAAAGAGGTCAGTGTTGAAACGTTCCTCACGATCCTTAAAATTTTTTCAGTATAAAGGCAAATTTTAACGCCCAGGAACTAAATCAAAGTTCATGTAAAGTGTACCAATGGTACATAAAATCTAGTAGAACAGTGTGTTAAGCTGGATTGGAAATAAAGTTGTGGATAGAGAAATTTTAAACACCTAGGGAGGTCTTACCAATGATAAAGGGGACTGTAGAGAGATGACTGATTAAGTTACAATAAAGAAAACACAAGGTCCCCTAGTAAGACACTAAACTGTTAATTTGTTGCATATGGCTCGGCACTATTCCTTTAACTGTGAAGGAAACTATTATAATAAAGAAAAACAAGATGCAGGCCTACAAAAAATAATAGTGTGAACAACTGATGGATTTAAATATTTGCCTGGATAAAGACAAAGGTAAAGTCAATGCAAATATAAAGTAAGATATTAGGAGAGTGGGTTTAATAGGTAAAAAAGAGATTTTAAAAAATCACCTAAAAAAGGGAGGAAGGACGGAAAATTTTATAATGCAATGTTGTTTTTTTGCTGTTGGCATTCATGTAAATATACAGGTGTGATAGCTTAGTATACATTTTATTGGCTTTTGGTTTGCATCTATTTTGAAGTTATAGCCATTTTGGATTCTTTGGATTGTGAAACTTTAAGGTAGTGGCTGAAAATCTTTCAATATTTTTACTTTTAAATATTTGAAAATCTAAAATAAATGAATAATGTCGTGTGTGGAGTTTTTTAGGAGTTTCTCAAAAGGTTTTAGAGAGAAATTCTATTTTAGATTTGGTTTGCAAAGGTTTGAAGATCTCAAAATACCTTTATTGTTTATACCTTTCTGTTTCACATTACAATAATGTTTTTATATGAACATATTTGAGTGTATTTAAATTAATAAAAAATTTACCATTTTGGCTCGAAATATGTCTTTGTGTCAGCCTTTCCACATTCATGGTTTCACATGTTACTGCCTGCTACATGGCTGCTGTTTTCTTAGGTTCATACTCCTCCTGTTATCCAACAATCAAAGAAGTTGTAAGTTGCTTTTTGTTAATATTGTTGTTGTGATGGGAGTGAAATTATTGTATACGAAAAACAAAAAAATGTAAAAACATTAGTAAGAGAACCCATTAGTTTGATGCCATGCGTCTAATCTGTTCGCATTAAAGAGGGAGAATCTTTTTTACTGGCTATATAAAGGCAAAGAGTTCCTTCTATTTAGATGATTTTACTTATATTTCTCTGATATTGAGTCATAAAAAGCAGCTTACTAATGGTGTGGTTTTACCTGGTCAGGAACAAGTGGCTCTCGATCGTCAATGTCAATGAAGACTTCTCCAGTTGTTACCATAGGTGTTTCACCTTAATACAGAAACATAAAAAACCAATAGATTTTACCATAAATCTGCAGTGTCAATTAACCAAAAGATCTTTTTCTTACGTCTCCATCCGCCCTCTTCTTCCTCCTGCTCTGTTTGCTCTTCCTCTTGTGTGCCTCGGTACTCCTCAAGTGACCGAATGGTGCACTGACCGACCACCGGCTTCCTCCCAAACTGACGGTTGTCAATGACTTTGATTACAATAGGCGGCATGTAAAGCTCCTCACGGGGAAGTCTCTGAGAGGAAGTGAAGGAGGAAGTGTCATACAAAAGAAAACTTTTGTATGACAGTTAGAAAGATAGCATTGTGAAAGAAACACAGCATCATCTGCATAAAGCAGCATTTGCGGTTACTTACTGACATGTGTGCAATTACTTAAGGGGCTAATTGGGACTTGCTATTTACGGGACACCTATTGGGTACCTATTGCTATCAACATTAATGGTTTTATCTGCGATAATGAATTTATAGCCTAAAATGATAGTATAGATAGCATTTGGTGAATTACCAGCAGAAAGTAACCCATGATAAGCAGTGGACATGTTATTCTTCTTTTCATCTTAAAATAATAAATTAAACTGAGTAAACAATCAAAGACTGTAATTAAATATATATCACCTTTAAAAGTTGTGTAAAGAGGTATTAATAAAGAATAATAAAGAATCCCTAAATTGAACAGAATTTTAACTAAATGTTCTGAAGAGTTTATCACATAGGTTTTTGTTTCTTGTAGGATATATCAAGATATATATTTTAGGATTGAAGAATATTCATAATTATTTTATAACAGTAAGGACAAAATGGTACCCCCCATAAAGCGTTAAATAAAAACACTAAGTCACAGCATCTTCAAAGTGCCTGGAATACAGACTAAAGAGGTCTTACCCTTTGAGATACTTCTTAAGCTATATTTAAGTGAACCCAAATGCAGGCCATATAGTTCTTGTTAGTCAATTTAACGTAACCCATAAGCAAAGAGTAATGGCCCATCAAATAAAACAGCGTATTAACCCAGGTATCCATACGCAATCCGTACCGTTTCTACAACCAGACCATAAGGTTGGTCAATATGTAAAAATTGTCCAACTGAGATTCGTCAGTGAAACAAATGTCGATGGACAATATATTAGTACAAGTGAATTTGTGGGCAAAGACAAGCACACCCTCAGAGCATGTATTGTTAATCACCTGCCCACACTGCTGAAACCCAATAAGATAAACATGCTTGTTTTCTTTTCAAAATGTAAACGTTTCGTATAATGGGAATGGTTTCCTCTTTTCCAGTTGTTCTGACTATATTATTCATTTGTTTATCTATATGAGGAAAATTGAACAGTCTGAAATTATAATTATAATTTTTTTTTTCAAGGAAAGCGATGGTTTCATCCTATCACCCAACTTTACCGGACACTGAGAGAAAACGCAACAACAATTCTAGAGTTACTACTTAATTAACCCAAAAATGTCCCTTAAATATATGTATAGGTAATATGTACTGTATGTTTCCCCAACAATATCCAGTAAGCAACTTATTCACATAATTTATTTGATTTAAAGAACCTTAAATGTAGCACCTGTGACCAATTTACCTCAGTCACACTAAATTAGGATAATTAATTCAAAGATGTGTAATTATCTCTTGTGGGTTTTACTGCGGAGAGGTCTAACTGTTATTAGCTGCTATTACTTTAAAAAAGCCTTGGGAGCTACATTTTAAGTAAATCCCCAAAAGCAAGTCGCTTAATGTAATTCTTTTGACTTTTTTGGCTTTGAGGAGGGTTAAGTAAGTCTACCGATGCTAAAGAAACACATTAAATTGAGAGAGTTAGAGATTTGGTTTGACTCTTCAAAGAGTTTTATTTAAGGAAAGTATGCATGTGGCATTTTCCTCTGCCATTGTGGCATAAGAAAACACTAATGCAGTCAACTTTAAACCCTAAAATTGTTAACAGTCAATGTTTGGACAAAGTTCAGGGGCTGAATTTAAGGGGAGAAAATGTGTGCATATTTCCACTGTCCGGTTCAGGCTGTCATGCCCTTGTGGTGGTCAAATGCAGGGGCTTAATCTTGTTAACATTAAACAGCAGGGGCTGGATCTGTGTCTGAGGGGAAAAAATATGTGATAATTTCCATACTCTAGTTTAAGCTGTCATAATAAAACACAGAGGGGATCAACTTTATACTTTAATATTGTTAAGCTCTCAAGAACATTTTGGAAGAACATCTATGAGTAGGAGATTTCATGCAGTAGAATGAAGGGATTAAATTTGGATTACTGTTTTGTGGATTTTTAATTGCGGCCAAGACCTTTGGCCTGATTCTTATATATA